AACGGTAACTGTAACGGAATACAGTTACTCATATTTTGTATTTTAAATACGTAACGGCGGTACATGTATTCCGTTACTCCCCAACACTGGAGGTAGAGTAGGTATTGCAAAGAATGCCTACTCTACTTTGTTCATGTTCATCACACATTTACCCCCCAGTCAAAGGGGGAAAGGTCAAAAATGTCTGTATTTCTTAAGAAAACTAAATTCATATTTCAGCTTCTTGTTAATATCTGTAGACAAACTATAGAAACTTCATCACCTAACACTAACACCTTACTGGCTGACTAAAACTTTGCAGGGCGTCGCTGCAGTCCCTTCTCAGTCAACAAAAAATAATCCATTAAGATAATTTCTATAAAAGGCTAACATATAGGCAACTTCTTACGAAGGATTGAATATTAAGCTTGAGTATGACGACAGAGCGATAATACACCACAATACTAGGGTGTATGCCAACATTTTGCAGCTGCTACATTGTATAAAGCTAAATTATTGTTCTAAATCTTGGGTAATGATCCACACTTAAAGGAAATGCCTTCTCCTGTTGAATTACTATTTTCTTTTAACCGGAGAAGCCATTGGTCATCCTTCTTACGTAACCTCTGGGTTCTCCAGTGTAACTAGCAGATTTCCAGGCCAAGACTTCCTGTTCTTTTGTCTATGTTTACTAGTGCATATATGTTTAAACACAGCTAAAATAAAGCTAAAACATTAGTGGATGAGACAGAGTGGTTTTGAATGTGCATTTCAGCAACGTAGTTCTCCACGGACTGTTTACCTGTTTGCAGCCAGAGGCTACTCAAATGTGGCTGATCAATACAACCTGGACTGCAGACAGAAACCGGATAGCTTCTGGTATCAAATCCCTTATCCCTTTGTGAATAGATTTAGCACATTCTTATGCAGACATCTGTTTAAATAGGTAACTGTTTTGGAAACATGTGATACAAATTATGCATTTTGCCACTGATTTCTACTCATTTTCTAGCTGTTAAAGTGAACCGTGGGTGCTCGGTTTAACATCAGCTCCTCTCCTCTGCTTGTCCATCTGTCTCCAGGCTGTAAACATGTGAAGGGAATCCTGCTGTACGGCCCCCCAGGCTGTGGTAAAACCCTGATGGCACGACAGATTGGCAAGATGCTGAAGGCCCGGGAGCCAAAGATCGTCAACGGCCCTGAGATTCTCAACAAGTATGTGGGAGAGTCTGAGGCGAACATCAGGAAGCTGTTTGCAGATGCAGAGGATGAACAGAAGAGGGTGAGAATGGGACACGATGTACATTTTGTATTGTTCTTCCACAACAGAGCCAGCTTACCAAAGCAGGGCAAACATAAAAGTCCTGTTTGTATTAATAAACGAGTCTGTTTTGTTGCAGCTTCCAAGTAATATTGGCTGTGTTGCTAGAACTTTCCTAAACTTCTCATCTAGAAGTCATCAAAAGTCTCTGTGTTTGTTCAGAGTATTTTCTCAGTAGCTATTAGTATTCTTCCAGCATCCCAGTGAAATACCGATAAGCACTGCAGAAAAAATCTAATTTCTCAAGAGTGGAGAGATCTGCCCTTTAGCCAGACATAGCTGTAATGACTTTTTAAAGTTTGTGCATGTGTGTGTGTGTGTTTGAAAGGGAAGAGGGGCCACTGAAACCCAGCAGTGATAGTTGGTTTGGATGGTGTGACATAAGCCTCACTCTGCACCACTTAATGAGGGGCTGGGTTCTCTTTGACCTCCTATAAGACCTCCCTACAAACCCCCACACACACATCGTGTATGTGTGTGACATTAACAGCTCTACACCTGTTTAAATGCTACGTCAGAGTCTGACAGGTCCGTCGATGGAGCGATAACCCCCCACCCGGCTGCTCCATCGCTTTTTTTCATTCATTCATATGAGGCTCAATACTTGTATTCAGCTCAGGATGAAAGAAGAGCAGTCACGGTTTCTTCTTGCTATGCTTCTGTGTCTCAGCTGAAAAAATAATTTGATTTTATATTTTACAAGGTTATTATAGTTTAATAGTATACTTTTTAGTAGTTTTATTTTAGTTTTATTTTAATGTAAATTTACAATTTCCTTATATTTTCCTTATATGTTTGCTTTGGATTTTACTTTAAATTTGGTTTTTATTGTTAAAAATGTAATTTTTTTGTATTAGTCTCACTCTTGGGTTGAGTATCTTTTCATATAATAGGGGCATTTTTAAAAAACAGTTTTTACAATATAAAAACTTGACTCACATTTTCCACTTTCAGTAAAAAGTTTGCTTTCAAATTTTATTTTATTAACAAAAAAATGTATTTTTTTTGTAGTTTTTTATGTTATTATAGGAAGCTTCTTTTTTTTTATTCTTCTGCCTCTGCAGGGTGCTCGATGGAAAGCCATTTTATGGAGTTCCACATTAAATCACTGTAAATTGAATTGGATGTCAAGAAAATACAGGTCAGGCAAGGAGAGGCAGTACCCAGCTGTAACAACACTGCTGTGCTTACTTTTTGTTCCTTAAACTTTTAAATGAATGTCCAAACCAGAACTTCCTATGGTTTGCCAGCTTCAGATCTTACAAAAAAATGCCTGAGACTTTAGTTATTCCAGTTTCATTAACCAGATTTTCTTATTTTGAGAATTTTAGTAGCCAAAACAAAGTCAGTTTTCTGCACATCTTCCAATAAAATGCAGCTGTATCAGGTGCGTCTAAGCTCCAGGGCAGAAAACTTTGGGAGGACAGAAATGGACCGCAGCACACTGATGAATTTTCAGCCTTGAGTTGTGCAGGCAGACAAACTTTTCCACAGAATTCAATGGCCAGCACCAACATACTTTACCCGAGGACCCGAAAACTGACTCCCAGAACTAAGAGACAATTATAATATTGTAAGACTTTGAAAATAACAGAGAGCTCCTTAAAACCAACCCCCTGTTTATTTGGTAAAAAGCTAAACTTATGCATACACCTATATGTTTAGGAAAAGGAGCTACAAGGAAAAAAGTTTAAAATACACATTTGTTTTTGTCTATAGTTTATCTTTTAGACATTTTTGCAAATTGGTGCATGTTTAAAGGTGTTGATATCTCTTTTCTTCTATTCTGTGCATATACAGCGCTTATATCCTCCAGATGTTCCAGATGTACTCCTTTCAATATTGTGAAAGTTTTTACAGAGAGGGCTTTGTTCATTTATCATTCAGTGCATGATTTATTGCAAAAGATGGACTCGTTCTGGCTGTTGGAAGTAATTTCTGATTTATAGACAAATAAAAACTTTTATATGGCAATAAAATCAAACAAGAGCTATGTATCTATACTATCCAGTTCTGATTTCAGTTTGGGAAAAGTGTGTCAGGAAGGCCATATTTATCTAGATAAATCTTAATTTTTATATTTAAGCATTACCTTTTCTAAGGCTTCTAATATAAAGAGAGAATTTTCCTTAATTGATTTGTAAACAGGGAAAGTTATATTTTTTTTTTTTACCTCTGTAGTTCATCTGTGTTGTCTCCCCTGTAGCAAATATGATAAACATGCATATCACTTTTGCGCTTTCAAGTAAGTAGGTGTAACTGTGTAACACCATCTCCTGCAAAATTACTTATATCCAGCATGACAGATGTAGAAAAACTGGATTTACTCAGCATTATCGAGGCGATGTCCTCCCTGCTTGTGTGAACAGATGGTATAGGATAAAGGTGCAAAGCACGTATTTACAGTTTACACATTAATCTTCCTCCTCTGCGTCTGTGTCGGCGAACAGCTCGGTGCCAACAGCGGCCTTCACATCATCATATTTGATGAAATTGACGCCATCTGTAAGCAGCGTGGCAGCATGGCAGGGAGCACAGGAGTCCACGACACCGTGGTTAACCAGCTGCTATCCAAGATCGATGGAGTGGAGCAACTCAACAACATCCTGGTCATAGGTGCGAACATGCAGACATTTTCTCGCAGTATATGTAAACTAGCATAAACACTTTCACACTTAAATCCTGTCCTGTGTCACGCCTGAACAGCCAAACTCTGTCTCATTACTTTTGTTCTTCCCTTTCTTCTGGTTTCTTCTCTTTCTGCTGTCT